GTGAGTCTATAGAGGTTGTGTACTAATGTTGTCACCACAACTAATATAAATGCACCAAAGTGCCACGTAGAATTGCACCATAGTGCCATGTAGAAATGCATCGAAGTGCTATATAAAGTTGTCCTCAAAGACCACGTAGAAAATTCCTTAAGAATCATATACATATGCCAAGGATCATGTAACACCCTCAACCCGTATCCGACCTGAATACGAGTCTGAGGTGTCACATTGACTTTTCAAACTCAATCAATTAGTACATGCCAACTATATTCAGATTAACCAAACATATTTAAATCATCTATTTTCTGATCTGAAACTTTGTAAGGAAAATGCTGACCTGTCTTGCTCCTCTTAGCTTCTCACTTTGCTTTCCAGAACCTACGTGTGAAACACTCACAAGCTAAGTCTATGACTTAGTGAGGCATTAAACTTATAAGAGAAACTCTAAATTCCTAACCATGCTTGAACATATCATACTATGCTATCACACAAAACAATATAACATTACGCATAATCAAATATACACAGAAACATACACTCATCATTTACTTCATTAATCTTATTTCACTATCTATATTATTATCATTTATATGTGTTGATCATATCATCTTGAACCTAACCTTTTTAACCAACATATGTTTCGTGTAACCAAACAATACACATATCATCATATGACTCGTGTAATACACATATCAACATATATCACAAAAACATATTCTTCACCTGTAATATATTTATTGTTATATCTTTGTCTAGCCCATGTACATTTCTGAGAACTGTAGATATGTGAGTCTATGGAGGTTGTGCACTATGCTGTCACTACAGCTCGTATGGGGTCCCACTAGGGGCTATGAGATTTGTCCCGAAGGACCTATGTATTGTATTTGTCCCGAAGGACCACTCCTTAAGAACCATATACATATTCCAGTGGATCAAATCTGTCTCAAAAGATCATGTAAATGTTCCAAAGGATACATATATGTCCCGAAGGACCACATAGACCCTCAACTCTTGGCATGCCAACTATACCTCTAGCTCTCTTTACACATAACATGGGCATTAACAATATATCATGTCACATATTCATATAATCACATAGTTCACTTTTATCTGTCTCTTATCTCTTGTGACCATATAATCACATCACTTTGTATCATATTTCACATATTTATATCACATGGTTCATATCACTTGCATGTTTTCTCATAAACATATATATATCATATCTTATTCTTATATAATCCTGCATATCATCTATGTCCATTCACTTAATCTATTATATTCATATATCATATATGCATTTTATTCATTATATAAACATATATTCATACAAGTCATATCATACCTGCAACAACATATAATTCATAACAAACACATGTTCATATTCATGAATTTATGCATAACACTATAGGAAATAGACTTGTCGCAAGTCTTATTTCCATTTTATATCATATACGATCTAATATGCACTCACCTGAGCCTCACTAAGTTCCAATCCACTTTTATGATTTCCTTTCTTTCGATCGAATCTTGACTTGATAATCGTTCCGGAACTTGTTCGTGCTCGATATCTATATAATCATAATCGATGCATTCTTTAACATGTGACTTGATGCACTACCCATGCATCGATACACAAATTACCTTCAATGTTTTCATTTTAAGGGGATGCATCGATGCACTCCTTATGCATCGATCACCAATTGCATTCGATGTTTATTTATTTGAGAGTGCATCGATGCACATTGAAGATGCATCGATGCAAACAACCCATAAATGATACTTTGAGCACGAAAATCCCTTCTTTATTCTCTCAACTCTTCATATTTCATCCCTTTTTCTATTCTTAACTCTTATACACCTATTTAAACTAATCTATACTCATTTATTTCATCTTAAACCCCAAAATCCTATCCTCCTTATGAGATTCAAGAATTATACAAACTTTGCAACATGATTTAATTCCACTTGTAACACTTCATATGTCTTAATTAGATTGATGACAAGTCAAATTTATCTTCAAATTCAACTTATCAACTCTATTTCAAGATTTCATTCAAAAAATCATTCTCTTTAATCTTTTGTAACTTCTTCATCTTTTGAGTTTAAGATAACTTAAGCTTTCCTTAATCTTAGTTATCACCTAATGATCAAAACCCAACCAATCAACAAATAATCAACTGAATAGAAACTCACCTTTGCTCAGCACGTTGGAGAAGAAGAAAGCAAGAAGAAGAAGAGTTTTCCATATACTCTCCCCCAACGTGTTTATCTCTTCTTAAAGAGATAAAAAAATATCTTTGATGACAAATAACCATTATGCCCTTTAATTCCTTTAATAATTACTAACAACTTTCTGGAAATATTCCCAAATAAATCATTGAACTATTCAACTATTTTACTTTGACCAACAAATTCTGAAATATTTCAATTTGGTCACTAGCCCGATATTGAGGATGTTACAGATCAAGTATGTGTCTCAAAAGACCTCACACATGTTCCAAAGAATATATATATGTCCCGAAGAACCGCGTAGACCCTCGACTCTTGGCATGCCAACTATACTTTTAGCTCTCATGACACATAACATGGGTATTAATATTTATGTTATCACACATTCACATATTCACACATTCACATACCTTTAGTTCATTGTCATATAAATCACATATCACATATACATATAAATACTTGGTTCACTTACGCGTAGAACATTTTCATATGATTCACATATCACAGAGCTTATCATATATAATTGTATTCTTTTTCATATAATCACATAGTCATATAATATTTCATATGACATATACTTTCTCTTTCATATATCTCATGTCACGTATCATATCTTATGATCATGTAATCATGTTACTTATAATAACATAACTTCTACTCATAGGGTTCAACATCATTAAACTTAGTTCACTTTCCATATTATCATACATTTATATAATCTTATATGTCCTATTATTAACCTATAAACTTACTCATATACTCATATAACTATTATCCTTTCTCCGGTAATCACATAGATCACATCTTATAACGTACACTATGTACATATAATAACTTATCTCATATCATATAACTTAGGGTTATTTTATATTCACATAAATTCTGTAACATATTATAACCTATAAACATATCACTATGCATGTATTCATGTACACATTTTCATATAGTCTATATATATATATCATAACTCCATGTTTTACATAATTACTTATCTCCCATCATTTATTTACTAATTTCATATATTTACCTAGTTCAGTTTCACATAGCTTATCACATATACAAATCTTCTACTAAATTATCATCAAAAGCTCCTATAATATCTCTCTATGGCTTCATAGATTTTTAATATATATCTTATTTATTATAAATTCATTTAAGCCTATAAATCTTTCCCATATAATTTATCTTAGATGTTTATATAATCACGTCCTCTTGTTATCACATAAGTCATTGGTATTTTACATAGTTCGTGATCTTATAATTTATATCTCAGGTTCATATAACTCATATAACATTTTTCTATAATACATAAATCATTGCCATATAACACATATCATATAAATTCATACCACATAACATGTAATACGAACTAAGCATATTCACGTAATATCAAACATAATCATACTTCTAATCATACAACCATATATTCAACATATTGGAATCAGACTTGTCGCAAGTCCAATTTCCATATACAATACGTATATTCTAATAATACGCACTCACCTGGCCTCACTAGTCAATGCCGATCTGTTATCTTTTCCTTGATTGATCTTACTTGCCAAGTTCCGGAACTTGTTTAGGCTCTGTATCTACATAGTAATATATTGATACTTATCAGTATACTAATTAATATATTCTAAACTATCATTTCTTAGGCTAAAAGAAAAGTTATTTTCATCTCTTAATAAAGGTATACATCGATTCACTACACCATGTATCGATGCATCGCTTGACGGGTGCATCGATGCACTATCTATGCATCGGTACATAAATCTCATTCGATGTTTTTATTTTAAGGGGGTGCATCGATGCACTAACTGTGCATCAGTACACTCAATGCATTCGATGTTTCTTCTTTAAAAAGTGCATCGGTACACATTGAATGTGCATCGATACACTTTACCCAGAATTTGTATTACGCCCGAAAATCATCAACTCTTCATTCAATTCTTCTATTTTTTAAGCCCCTATCATATCATTAAACTCAACTACCATTACTTAAACCAACTTGTATTCATATAAACCATCTCTATCTTCCATATCTCATCATGATTCTTAATTTTAAGAATCTTACTAAACTTTCAACTTTGTTATTAATCCTTTCTAACTTCATAAATCTCTTATTCTTAGTGAGGACAAGTCAAATTCCTTCTCAAATTTCACTTATTAACTCTTTTCCAGAAATTCATCTAAAAACTCATTTTCTTTAATCTCTTCTATATCTTTCATCTTGTTATTTTAGAACAAATTAAGCTTTCCTTAAGCTTAATTATCATCTAATGATCATAACCCAACCTTAAAATCAACAATTAATCAACAAGCAAAGAAACTCACCTTTGAGCTTGGATATACGAGAGGAGGAAGAAGAAAAAAGAAAACTCTGGAGAATTCTCTCATTTCCCACGTGGTTCCCTTATCTTATAAAAGGAATATAAAAATTTTCCTTTTCAAAAGACCATTTTGCCCTTTAATTCCTTTAATAATTACTAACAACTTTTAGGAAATATTTCCAGATAAATCATTGAACTATTCAATTTTTCTACTTTAATCACCAAATTCTGAAATATTTCAATTTGGTCACTAACCCGGTATTGAGGATGTTACACTTAACCAATTTCTTGAGCAGTATTTAAGAGGACTTTGTTTTTTAAAACCAAGTTAATGGGCTAAATGGTTGTCTCACGCATAATGGTGGTACAACACTAGTTTTCATACTGCGATAGGTACTACACCTTTTCATGCCCTTATATGGCTATACACCTCCAACAATGACTTGGGCAAATGAGTCAAGGGTGGCTGATGTACAACAGTTTATGCAGGAAAGGGATAATATCAATAGTATACTATTGGATCAACTCACTAAAGCACAACATTGCATGAAATATTATACAAATAGACATCGCAGTGACAGGGAATTTAAGGAAGGGGAGGAAGTTTACCTTAAGCTTCAGCCTTACAAACAGACTTCCTTGGCTTTACCCATGAATTTGAAATTGTCTGCTCGATTCTATGGTCCCAACAAAATAAAGAAACGAATTGGTTCAGTTGCATACCAATTGGAATTACCAGTTCATTCTAAACTTCATCCGGTGTTTCATATTAGCCTTCTGAAAAGAAAAATTGGGGATAAGAACGTTGCTTCAAGAGACCCACCTGAACTCACTGCTGATGGTCAGCTTCGAGTTTATCTTATAATTGTTTTGGATAAACGAGTTATCAAACGAAACAATAGGGCAATAACTTAATTGCTAATTCAGTGGTCAAAATTAGGGGTTGAGAATGCTATCTGGAAAGATTTTACAATCCTTCGATCCCAATTTCCTGATTTTTGATCCTTGAGGACAAGCATCGACTGCAGCTGGGGGTATTGTCATGAACCAGGAGGTGAAATTAGAGGCTGATGAGGAGAAAGGGGGAAACATGGGGAAATTAGGGATTATAATTGGAAATTTAGATGATAAGCATATGGATAAGGTAGAGATGTTACCTGATGGGCAAAGAACCGAGCGTGGGCTGCTGAAGCATGAGACCAGGCTCTTATTGGACCAAGAAATGGCAAGCCCAATAACCTGCATCCAACAAATGAAGACAGAAATGGTTAAGGAATCAATGTTGTTAGAGAAATGATACAGCTGACAATATGTTATGAACTAATTCCTATAAAATAATTCAGTTGTAATAAGATGAAATTATCAATGAAAATATTATGATTCCTATAAAATAATTCAGTTGTAATCAAATGAAATTATCAATGAAAATATTATGAATTCTATTTTCTTCATTCTATTCTCTCTATCTTCTTAATCCTTTCTATTTCTCGTGAGCAATTCACCACACTTGAGCTTGAAACTGTTACCCCTCTTCACTTGTCCCATGTAAATGCAACCCATCTTTGGAGACAAAGGATCAGATTTGATGAGGCTCTCATCTTTAATAGATGATCTGGATCACATGACGGGGATGAAAGTTGGCTTTTGACTAAAATGAGGATGCTTCTGGTAAAGATGGTGATTCTATCCATTCCCCATCAAGAAAGAGAGTTGGGAGACGGATGGGGTTTAAAAGGGTTTGTGAAATTATAACAAAATGTTGCGCTTTTTTCAAAGTTGCAGCCAATAGACTCTGATTCACTTCTTGTTTTAGTCTTCGATTTTGGTATTAAAATGAGTGATGAGAAAGCTCAAGGTTGAAGAAGCTGTCTAGATGTTTGAGTCACGCACACGCGTAAGAGGAAGACCATCACTTTGTGGATTGACCAAGTAAAATTAGAGAAAGCTACTGATCAAGTAATTAAGGCCCCCCACGCCTTGAATCTTCCACTTTCTGTATTGGGATAAAACATTTTTACTCCTTCAATTTAGTCATTAAATACTTTTTAGTCTGCATTGATCTTGGCCCATTTTTAGACCTCTTGATGATGTCACATCATCGAGCTAAAATGAGACAAGTTGTCTAGTTTAGAGGTTAATTTGAATCAAAATAATGTTTAGGGATTAAGTTGCAAAAATCATCAAATTAAAGGACTAATGTGAACCAGAATAAAGTTTAGAGACTAAATTAAAAGAATTCTAAGTGAAATAGAAATCCTTTTGTATTGGAATTTGTAAACAGCAATTCTACGCGGAACAGAAATCCTTTACCCTTCTGTCTTTCTGCCCCACCAATATTCTTTTTATACGTATTTTTTATTTTCATGGTAACACTCTTATAATTTTCTGAAAAAAGAATTATTATTATTTATTTCTATAATCCACATCTTCCATTATATTTGAAGATACTGCATATAGCTTTTTTAGCTTAAATTCAAAAATAAATACTTAGTCCTATTAAACTGTGAATTCTTCCACATAAATTATATGTCAATTTAGTGTATATCTGTAGTATAAAAATTAAATTATTTATGTTAATTTTGTTAAATAATTTAAATACAAACATTACTTTAGTGTAATCTGTAGTATAAAATTTAGTTTTGGAATTCTTATTTTATCATGTTTTCATATTTAATTAAATTTTAATTGTTAAATTTATTTAACATAAACCAATTTCAGATATTTATAAAATCAGAAGATAAAATTACTTGAAATTTTTGTACAACTTGGAAACGAAAAAGGAAAAGGACAAAACTGGGAAATAGAAAATAGAGTTAAGGGCAATGATGTAATACAATAAATCGATCTGATAATAATAATTAAATTCGAAGTTTCTGAGTTTGCCCTAGCGCGTTTAAGATTTCTCCACGTAATTTGGCGTGTATAAAGCAGCGTCTTTCTCTTCTCTTTCTGTACCACCAAATCCCTACATTCTCTTCTCCAATTCCCCTATCTTTTCAATCTCATCAGATGTATGATTCTGCCGTTCCCAGTTTCTTTTCGTTTATTAATCTGTTCATGATTTTCTACCACTTATTCAATCTTTCAACTACTTCTCCGATACCTACATTGATGTTTTCTTTTGTTAAATCTTTGTGTATCTTTTATTGTTTTTTTTATGAGTTTATTTTTGTTTTTGGATTTCTTATACCATCGATGCAGCTTTGTGTCTTTTCTGGTTGAATATTTGTTTTTTTATGATTGGTAATTGATGATTTCTTCGATGTTTAGATTATTGCAATGCGGATTTTAAATCATAAATTATGTCTTTTCTGAGTTTAGTTTTTATTATTTAACTTTGAACATAATGATTAGCTTATTTAATACGGATTTTATAGTTCTTAGTAATTACTTATTTAATTTACCTTGTAACAATTTTGAATCGTTATGTTATTTATTGTTAGGATGTTTGGGAATTGAGATTTTAATTTTTCAGTTTGATCTGTCTGATTTAATTTAACAATTATTTTAACGTTTTAACTATCTGGTTGTTATGGAGGGTCTTACAAAGAAAGAAATTTAATCTTTTGTTTTGTAATGTTTTCATATCTAGATTAATCTTGGAATCTTTAGGCTTTAAGAATTGATATTTGTTGATTCTGATATTTACATTTGAAATTTGATGAATGTTGGTATATTTCATGTAGATTTGAAACAGTTTTCCTGTTGTTGATGAATTTTCTGCTGGTTATTGATATAATAAATGTTCAACCTTTGCCCGGATGGATTTTGTTATTCATTCAGGAAGTTGGCAGCTTAATCTGCTGTGTCTGCTGCTTGTCAAAGTGGAGAGTGTTACGATTGCATCTTCTTTTATGTCTGAACGGGCCTCTCTCTCTTTTTCATCTGTTGGATTGCTCGGAGAGTACTGTCCCACTTTTAGAGAGAAGAATATAATCTCCTCTTCCGAAGTTGTATGCATGCATATTGAGGTCTATAGCACACACAGTCTCGGTTTCCATTTTATGCAACCTCTTCCAAGTGCAACAGTTTGATCAAAGATGGCTTTGCAAAATATTGGTGCTTCGAATAGTGATGATGCCTTTTATAGGTATAAGATGCCCAAAATGATAACTAAGATTGAAGGGAGAGGAAATGGCATCAAGACTAATGTAGTTAATATGGTTGAAATTGCAAAGGCTTTGGCTAGACCTGCCTCTTACACTACGAAGTATTTTGGCTGTGAATTGGGAGCTCAATCAAAGTTTGATGAGAAGACTGGAACTTCACATGTAAATGGGGCCCATGACACTGCTAAGCTTGCGGGGCTTCTTGAGAACTTTATTAAGAAGTTTGTTCAGTGCTATGGTTGTGGGAACCCCGAAACAGAGATTATTATTACAAAGACACAGATGATTACCCTAAAATGTGCTGCATGTGGATTTATTTCTGATGTTGACATGCGAGATAAGCTTACCACATTCATTCTTAAAAACCCACCAGAGGCAAAGAAGTCATCAAAAGACAAGAAAGCAATGAGGAGGGCTGAAAAGGAAAGACTCAAAGAGGGTGAGGCTGCTGATGAAGAGCTGAAGAAGATTAAAAAAGAGGCTAAAAAGAAGGGTTCCTCTACTACTACTTCGAAGGTTGCTGCTCCCAAAGGTGCAGTAACGAAGAAGAAAGGCAAGCATTCTGATGAGGATTACTCCCCTGAACAAAGCCAGGCCGATGAGAATGAGGTGGCAAGTTACGATGACGACGATGTCCAGTGGCAAACAGATACTTCTCTGGAGGCTGCTAAGCAACGCATTCAGGAGCAGTTGAGTGCTGTTACTGCAGACATGGTGATGCTATCTACCTGTGAAGAGAAGAAAAAATCTGTAAAGAAGTCTCCGGAGCATGATGTTAAGGCACCTGAAAAGGTTGTCAGTGCCCATGAGAAACTTGTTGATGAGATAAAGGAACATCTCAAGAAGGGGTCTTCTCCTTCTCAGCTTAAATCCTTCCTAGGTTCGCTCTCTGGAACTTCCCAAGAAATCACAAATGCCCTTTTTACTGTACTCTTTGATGATGTTGGAAAGGGGTTTGCAAAGGAAGTAACTAAAAAGAAGAACTACCTTGTAGCAGCAGCGGCAGCTGCCACCAAAGAAGAGGGATGGCAAATGATGCTCCTACATTCTATCGAGTCATTTTGTGGCAAGGCAAGCCCTGATGCGGCAAAGGAGGTGGCTTTAGTTATCAAGGTGTTGTATGATGATGACATCTTGGAAGAAGAGTTCATCATGGAGTGGTACCAGAAAGGAATAACTGGTAGTAGTAAGAGTTCTCAGATATGGAAGAATGTCAAGCCCTTTCTTGAGTGGCTCCAGAATGCCGAGTCGGAGTCGGAGTGATTATGGAACTCTTGGTATGACGGTTAATTTCATTTCAAGTATGTCTCTCATTTGGTCTTGTTAAATAAGTTACAGCCCTCTGTTATTTGAGTAGTTTTCTTGATCTTAATTAAGACTACATTTCCATTTGAATTGAGTTTTGCTGTTTTGGGCGTTTAATTTCCAAACCATCCTTCCCCCGTCTAAGGGGTATTTTACTACTCGCCCAATTTTGGTTCGTGTTTTTGTTTCTAGTTAACTTGAAACTTCTAGTTAGTTATTTTAATGAAATATTAAATTATTCTAAAATAAAAAAAGCACGAAATTAATATAATTTTTTTAAATGTCAAACATTTGTTGAATTATAATTAAAATGATAGAAGATATAAATTTTGGTACTAAAATTGTTAATTGTACTCTGACGTGTACATTCTCTACATTTAATTATGCAACTTTCACATCCGTATAAGAACTTGTAAATCGATAAAGATACTCTTTATTGTCCATTATATTATTAAATTGATACTCACTATGAGTGGGAAAAAAAATTGTGTAAAAGCTTGACCTAGTAATGATAAAGAAAATCTCAAAGCTAAAGATGAAAATGCTTTATTTCATTAGTCCAACGTTCCATGCTCACTTGCGGTTGCCCTTGACCTCCCAAATAGTTTTGAGCTTCACTTCCACGGCAAAGCTAATTTCAATTACACAAATGTATACTCATTTATATGTGGTCTACTTATTCGAAGATATCGGACACATAATTTAATATAAATATTGTCAATTTTTTTTAAAAAATATATTAAAATTTTAGAAAGATAAAATTATAAAAAATATTTGAAATTAGATCGTTAATAAAATATAAAAAATATGTAATTGTATATGTCGAAACGGTCCTCGCAGCTTTTTAGTGCTATAGTGAGGATCGATCCAACTTAATATTGAAACATGTTGGGTTTTAAATAAATACATAAATATACAATTTTGGAATCGTCATCAAACTTTGAGTTAGGTAGGTTGAATACCTAAAAATACATTTTAAAATAATTTTAAGAAAAATAATTTTAAAAGATAAAAAATTGATTTGACCATAGATTCGTTTTGAAAAAAGGTTCGGGAGTCGGTTACGTGTGGGAAAAATTAACACCCCCACAACGCCCAAAATTAGTACCTAAATGATTATACGTCATCTAAATATTAAAATTAGTAAATTTGAATAACGTTTATATTATGATACTTTTTTAGAAAAATAAAAAAAGATATTATTTTATACGAATAATCTTTGAAAATACCTCCCTAGTAAATAAAGGGGGTATTTTTATGGATTCCTCGTACAAAAGAATAAAGTCAAAATTTTAGATAAAATGCATACATTAATTATATTAAACAAATATATTCGAATATAAAATCTATTATTTTATTCGAATAATTCTTGGAAACACACCCATTGTCAGTTAAGGAGCATTTCTATAAATTTCTCGAGTAAAATAACATTTTAAAAGTATTACAATTAGCAAAAATTAACAAATATGTAAATGTTGGATTAAAAGAATAAATTATTAAATTTAGAGATTAAATTATAAAACTAACAAATGATCAAGGCAACCATTGCAAATATCTCACATATATGCACTTTAAACATAAATAAACAAATAGTATTATTTTAGAATAAAAAATTTAAATTCGAGGATTAAATTGTAAAGAAAGTAAAATTATAGGCATAAATGAGACTAACATGCAAAATAGGTACTGGTAGTGTAATTTGACCATTATCACAATTTGGGGTTAAAAATGAAAACTATTAAAATCTAAGGACTAAATCGGATATTTTACCCAAAATACATATAAATATGTTCAGTGACTAAAATAGAAACAACGTAAAATTTGAAATACAAATTAAAATAAACAAAAATTAATTTCAATGACCAAAATGAAAAGTTACTAAATAAAGAGGCTGCGAGAATGATTTACCCATGCGCTAAAACGCAGAAATCCCATCCCCAAAACGACGTCGTATGGGGAGGAGTATATATACCCTTAAACCGGCCCTTAAGGGCCTTAATTCTCTCTCATTTTCCATTTTCACTTCTTTTTCTAAAAAAGAGACTTTTTCTCTAGCTTCTCTCTACCTTCCCTCATCGGAGAAAGGCCGGCCACCGTCGACGATCGTTCGCTGGAGTTCTCCGCCACCGCATACGGCGACCGTAGTTAGAAAAACCACTTAAAATGACCTTTGGTCTTTCCTAAACTTGAATTCGACCACCAATCCCCCTAATATTAAATCGATCGTCCTAGATCTAAGAAAAACAAAGGGGTTACCGTCAGTTTTCGATGTTTCTTTTCTCTAGCGACGAGGCGCGTGACTTTGAATGATAATATACTCCTTTCTTTCTCTTTGTTTTCCTTTTCTTTTTTGCTTTCTAATTATTGCTTGTGGTTGTGTTATATTCCCTCATATTTTTCCTTGCAGGTTATGGTTTTTATAGGCCCCATGGCTCTTCCTTCGGACCAGTCGAAGAGGAGAAGCCCTGTGAGTCACTGGGGCTATGGTGGTGACTCACCTAGGAGCGGGTGTGACTCACCAGAGGCATCCATGAGTCACCAAGGGCGGCCGTGAGTTGGGTGGATTAAATACACCCAGATATTTTAGATCTGGATGGTGCAATCCGAAAATGACAGCAGTGGCTCACGCGATGGAAAATGAGTGGTGAAGCTCACGCGCTGGTCAATGGTCATCCATGGTGGCGGCGACTGATAATTCCTTAAGGTAAACCCTAATCCTAATCCAATCTAGACCATTGGATCTAAATCAGATCCAACGGTTAAGGATAAAGGTGGCTGGGAGAATGATACAAAACCTTAACCGGGTTTGAGCCTATTGACTGGGTCTAGGTTTAGGTTATTCTGCTGGGATGATTAATATATTTCTGGGTCTGTAATAATGTAATTATTATTTAATAATAATAATAATTATTATTATTATTATTATTATATTTTGGATGAAAACCATGTCTACAGTTGCCCATCTTTGCTCATTCTTATGTCAACAACAATAAGGCAAAGACGAAGAGACAATAAGTTTTCGTCCACTCAACTTCATGCTTTGAATTTTGACGAGATACCATTATTTCTCCAGAGCAAATCAGACTTGATTTTTTCCTCTTTTTCGGGTAGTCAGATCAATTTTGGAAGACGGGTTTGCTACATTCTTCTTTCAAGGGAGATCAAACTTGATTTGTTCCTCTTTTTTAGGTAGTCATATCAATTTTGAAAGACAAGTCTACTCCTCTCTTCTTTCAGGGGAGATAAGACTTGACCTATTCCTCTTTTTTGGGTAATCAGATCAATTTCGGAAGACGGGTCTGCTCTATTCTTCTTTTAGGGGAGATCAAACTTGATCTGATCCTCTTTTTGGGTAGTCAGATCAATTTTGGAAGACGTGTCTGCTCCACTTTTCTTTCAGGGAAAATCAGACTTAAGGATTGATTTGCTTCGTTGTTTCTTTAGGAAGACCAAATCTGACAGATTGACTCATCTTCAAGAATAACAAAGATTGACTTTTCTTCACGAGGAAGTCAAGGATTGGTTCATCTTAACGAGGGAGTCAGGACTAACAAAGATTTATTTCTCTTTAGGAATAACAAAAATTGACTTCTCTTCATGAGGATGTCAATTATTGACTCATCTTCAGAAATAACAAAGATTGACTTCTCTTCACGAGGAAATCAATGATTGGTTCCTCTTCACGAGGGAGTCAAGAATAACAAAGATTGAATTCTCTTCACGAGAAAGTCAAGGATTGACTCCTCTTCAAGAATAAAAAAGATTGACTTCTCTTCATGAGGAAGTCAAAGATTGGTTCCTCTTAATGAGGGAGTCAGGAATAACAAAGATTGACTTCTCTTCATGAGAAAGTCAAGGATTGACTCCTCTTCATGAATAACAAAGATTGACTTCTCCTCACGAGGAAGTCAAAGATTGGTTCCTCTTCACGAGGGAGTCAGGAATAATAAATATTGAATTCTCTTCACAAGGAAGTCAATTTGAAGCGTCAAGGGAAAATGATTTTTAGTAAGACAAGATTGAGTTCTTTAGGAAACATGTTATAAGAAAGCTACGATTAAAGTTTCTAGAGAAACCATCTTAAGATAGACAAAATTTCTCAAAACAAATTTTACAAACATTATCATGAGGAAGATCAAAATTTATCATTTATGAATGAAATGATGTATGATGAAATGAATCAAATTCGTGTATATGACTATGCCTAACTCGGCAAATATCACTAAGAGAGCATCGTCTGTTCTAATTTGACTCTTGAAACATATATGAGGGTATCCTAATTCCTTTTGTGTCTCCACATCTAATCAGATCTTGAACAAAGATATTTGTACCACATAACAACTCATCGTTCAATCTTAATTGGCTTCACTAGTTTCTTACTGTTAAAATTTCATCGCTCATTCTAAAGAAATCTTCACTATTCTTCACTTTTAACCTTGGGGTTGTAAAAGACAACCTTAATCTTGGGTCAAAAAATGGAAACAAAGCCTGATCGCAACATTGGTTCAATGCCATATTGTAACACCCATAACCCGTATAATTATACCTATACAGATTATAGATGTCATCCGTATTAAAAAAAACCAATTCAAAATTCAAAAGCTATTTAAAATTTATTTTCTTAAAATAGTAAATAATATTATAAAAATACCATGTCATATAAATCATGTTTCGTTGTAACTAATTTAATTCAAAATATTTATTTTATATGAATAGTGAATAGTTCCTGTGAACAGTTACAGTGAATAGTGGGGGAATCGATTCCCTGTAGTAGGGGAATCGGTTACCCTTTTGTAATCTGGAAATTTGCCAAAACGCGGTTACTGTAGTAATGAACAGTAACTGCTACAGTAACTGCGAAAATACATATAAGTTCATAAAATTCCATTTTCTTGTTTCCAATTTTGTTCAACAAAGCAAATAAAACATAATAATTACATAATAATTACATGCCACTAATTAAATCTACATTACATTTTAGGATGTCTTACTGATAAAGAAATATACGTCTTGATGCTTGATGTTGCCTTGAACTCTCTATTCTTCTACGAGCTTTTTACCTACGCG